TGCTTCCATGGATGTTAATTGTTGATCCAAGTAGAAAGAAATTCTTGACAACTTCAATTTTTTTCTCCATAATGCTATTTATTGGTCCAGTTGCGAGGATTTTCATAGTCTTCATGTTAAGGTATAGTGCATATTGAAGGCTGTGGTCTTTTACCTTCATCAGTAAGTGCTTCAAGTGGTCTTCATTTTCACAAGCAAGGTTGTGTCATTTGCATAATGCAGGTTGTTAATGAGACTTTTGCCAAGGCCGATGCCATATTCTTCTTTATAAGTCTAGCTTCTTGGATTATTTGTTCAGCGTACGGATTCAATAAGTAAGGTGAAAGGATACAACCCTGCTGCACACCTTTTTCCAATTTGGAACCACACAGTATCCCCTTGCTCTGTTCAAATGACTGCCTTTTGATCCATGTACAAATTTAACATGAGCACAATTAAGTGTTCTAGAATTCCCATTCATTGTAGTATTATCCATAATTTGTTATCCACACAGTCGAATGCCTTTGCATAGTCAATAAAACATAGGCAAATATCTTTCTGGTATTCTCTGCTTTCAGCCAAGATCTGTCTGACATCAGCAGTGCTATGCCACATTCCACGTCCTCTTCTGAATCCAACTTGAATTTCTGCCAGTTCCCTGTTGATGTACTGCTGCAACCATTTTTGAATTGTCTTTAGCATAATTTTACATTTGTATAATGTTAATGATACCGTTCGATACTTTCCATGTTCCGTTGGATCACCTTTCTTTGGAATGGGCACAAATATTGATCTCTTCTAGCTAGTTGGTCAGGTAACTGTCTTCCAAATTTATTGGCATAGATGAGTGAGCACTTCCAGTGTTGCATCCATTTGTTGAAACATCTCAGTTGGTATTCTGTCAGTTCCTAGAGTCTTGTTTTTTGCCAGTGCCTTCAGTGTAGCTTGAACTCCCTCCTTTAGTACCAGCTATTCTTGATCATATGTTACCTCCTGAAGTGGCTGAATGTCGACCAAATTCTTTTTGGTACAGTGACTCTCTATTCCTTCCATCTTCTTTCGATGCTTCCTGCATTGTTCAATTTTTTACCCATAGAATCCTTTAGTGTTGCAAGTTGTGGCTTGAATTTTTTCTTTAGTTCTCTCAGCTTGAGAAATGCCGATTGTGTTCTTTCGATTTGGCTTTCTAACTACAGGTCTTTACACATTTTATCCGAATACATTACTTTGTCTTATCGAGTCAACCTTTGAAATTTTCTGTTCAGCTCTTTTACTTCACCATTTCTTCTGTTTGCTTTAGCTACTCTGTGCTTAAGAGCAACCTTTTAAACCCACTGTTGTTGTTAGTTGCCTTTGAGACAATTCTGACTCCTGGCAACCACACGTGTGTAGAGTAGAACTGCTCCATATTGTTTTCAAGAATGTGACCTTTTGGAAGCAGATTGCCAGATTCCGTACTGATGGTACGTCAGAGATTGTCAATGTAGTCTTCAGTTTTTCTTAATGCTAGTGATGTTTGTGTTATAGAAGAGTTAGTTTTAAATTTGTATCTGGCACTGTAGCAGTCCCTGGGGGGAGGTAATAATTTTCATGGAAATTTTTTAAAAACATAAAATTGTCCCTTATATATATAAAAAAAAAATTCTAAGGAGTTTAAATGTGTTTGCTTTCCATGATTTGATTCTGTACACTTTTTTTTTTTAAATATATATCTGATACTTTTTAGGGGGGATTTTTATTTAGACACAGAACTTCGCCAGATTGGCTCTTGTTTGGGAACAATTGCTCAGTAGTTCATGGAGTGTAGAGTAGACTGAAGTCTTAAACAGCAAACTTTTAAAAAATAATAGTGGTTTTGCTTTATTGTAGCATAGAGTATTAATTTACGTGGATACTATGAAAAAGAAAGCTTCACTTTTTCACTCATCAAAAATTCTGCTATTCTAAGAAAGCTATTAGACCTAATAAATGAATTCAGCAGAGTGGCAAGATACAAGGCCAACACATAAAAATCAGTCAGGTTTCTATACATGAGTAATAAGCAAGTAGAAAAGGAAATTAAGGAAATATTAGCATTTACAATAGCATCAAAAATAATAAAGTGCCTAGGAATAAGTTTAGCGAGGAAAGTTTCATACTCAGAAAACTATAAAATATTACAAAAAGAAATTAAAGAAGACCTAAATAAATGGAAGGACATTCCATGTTCATGGATTAAAAGCCTTAGTATAGTTAAGATGTCAGTACTACCTGTCTTAGTCGTCTACTGCTGCTGTAACAGAAATACCACAAGTGGATGGCTTTAACAAAGAGAAATTTATTTTCTTATAGTCTAGGAGACTAGAAGTCCAAATTCAGGGTGCCACCTCCAGCGGAAGGCTTGCTTTCTCTGTTGGCTCTGGAGGAAGTTCCTTGTCATCAGTCTTCCCCTGGTCTAGGAGCGTCTCTGCACAGGAACCTCAGGTCCAAAGGACATGCTCTGCTCCTGGCACTAATTTCTTGGTGGTATGAGGTCCCTCTGTCTCTCTGCTCGCTTCTTTCTTTTATATCTCAAAAGAGATTGGCTCAAGACACAATCCAATCTTGTAGATTGAGTCCTGCCTCATTAACATAACTGCCACCTATCCCACTTCATTAACATTATAGGAAAATCACATCAGATGACAAAATGGTAGACGATCACACAATACTGAGAATCATGTCCCAGCCAAATTGATACACATATTTTTGGGGGACATAATTCAATCCATGACACTACCCAAAGCAGTCTGTAAATTCAATGGAATCCTCATCAAAATTCCAACAGCCTTCTTTGCAGAAATGGAAAAGCCAATCCAAAAATTTATATGGAAGAGCAAGGAACCTTGAATAGCTAAAGCAATCTTTAAGAAGAATAAAGTGGCAGGACTCATAACTCCTGGTTTCAAAACATACTGTAAAGCCACAATAATTAAAATAGCCTGTTACGGGTATAATAATACACATATAGGCCAGTGGAATAAAATTGAGAATCTAGAAATAAATCCATACATCTTTTATGGTCAACTGATTTTTGACAAGGGTTCTTCTACGTCCATTTAGTGGGGAAGAAGAGTCTCTTAAATGATCCTGGGACAATTGGATTTCCATGTGCAGAAGAATGAATCAGGATGCATGCCTCACACAATACACAAAATCTAAACTGTTGCAAGGACCTAAATGTGCAAACTAAAACCATAAAATTCTTAGAAGAAAATAAATGTAGGGGTGTGGCTTTGGGACCTAGTTTTTAATGATGGATTATCAGATATGACAACAAAACATGAACAGTAAAAGACAAAATAGATAAATGGGACCTCATAAAAGTTACATACTTTTTTTCATCAAAGGACTTTATCAAAAAAGTGAAAAAACAGCCTATAGAGAAAATTTTCAGGGTCTAATATCCAAAAAAAAAGTCTACAACTTAACAAGCAACACAATCAAACAACCAAAGGACTTTAACAGACAGTTCATCAAAGAGAATAGTCAGATGGCCAACAAGCACATGAAAAGATGCCCCCTGTTGTTAACCATTGTTGCTGTCATCGTTGGTAATTGCCGTCAAGTTGATTCCAACTCATGGTGACCCCATAAGGTCTGCCTGGCTGTACTCTTAACAGTAGCAGATTGTGAGGCCTATCTTCCAAGGTACTGCAGGGTGGGTTGAACCACCTACTTTTAGGTTAGCAGTCAAACACAAACCTTTGGTGCCACCTGTTATTGTTGTGTGCCCTTGAGTTGGATTTTGACTCATAGCAACCCCACGTGACAGAACTGCCCTATAAGGTTTTTTTTCGAAGCTGTTATCTTTACAAGAACAGATCACCAGGTCTTTCTCCCACAGAGCTGCTAGGTGGGTTCAAACCACCCACCTTTTGGTTAGCAGCCAACTGCTTAACTTGTTCCACCAGGGCTCCTCCTCATTAGCCTTTAGAGAGATGCAAATCAAAACCACAGTGAGATATTACCTCATCCCCATTAGAATGACTGATCAAAAAAAACAGTAGGTGTTGGCGAGGTTGTGGAGAAACTGAAACCCTTATTCATTGCTGGTGGGAATGTAAAATGGTACAGCCACGGTGGGAACAGTTTGGTGGTTACTTAGAAAGTTGAACATAGAAGTACCATATGACCTAGCAATTCCAATCCTAGGTATATACCCAGAAGAAGTGAAGGCAGAAATGCAAACGAAAACCTGTACATCAGTGTCCATTGCGGCACTTTTCATAATAGCCAAAATGTGGAAATAACTGAAATGCCCATCAAGAGATGAATGAATAAAAATGTACATACACGCAATGGAATACTACTCAGCCATAAAGAGAAATGAAGTCCTGATGCCTGCCACATTGATAAACCATGACAACATCATGCTGAGCAAAATAAGTCACAAAAGAACAAATACTGTATGATCCAACTTATACGAAATAAACAAATATATAGAAACCAAAGATTATTAATGGTTACCAGAGGTGGGAGGGAGGGAAAAGGGAAGTTTTTGCTTGAGGGTCATTGAGTTTATGTTAATGGTGGTGGAATGATTTGGAAAATGACAGTGAGCATGGGTGTACAACTTGAAGAATGTAATCAATGGTAGTGAATCGTACATGTAGAAATTGAGTCAGTGTATGTTTTGTTATGTATATTTTTACCACAAAAAAAAGAAAAAAACCTATGAATTCCAGAAAGACTTTTACTGCTGCCATTTTAATTTTGTTGTTTTGAAGAAATATGTTGGTGATCATCTATAGGGTCATTTTCCCACCAGAAAGTCTGTAACCAGGATCACTAAATTAAGCAATATATATAAGTGGGGAATGCTGGGGAAGAAAAGGATTGAAGAAAAGCTGAAGTAAGAGAGAAAGAGAGCATCAAGGAAATAAGAATAGAAATATATACTAAGCACTGTGTTAGATGCTTTGCTTTAGCCTAATAAGGAGAACAGAAAAGAAGAGGATCTTAGTGGAGTCAGAGAAGTCTAATTAAAAGTAAGGAGGTGTGTTTGCTCCAGCAGTACATATACTCAAATTGTAATGATACAGAGAAGATTAGCATGACCTCTGCTCAAGGATGACATACAAATTCATGAAGCATTTCATATTTTTATGAAAAGCTTTTGAAAATAGTGGGGATAGTTGCACAACCTGGTGAATATTATTAATATCACTGAATCATACACTTAAAAATGGTTAAAATGGCAAAATTTTGTTATATATTACCACAATAAACAAAAACAAGATGAAATCAACATGGCCGACACCCTGATCTTGAACTGACAGCCTCTGGTACTGTGAGACAAAAAAAAAAAAAAATCTGTGTTTATCAGCAAAAAAAAAAAAAACGTACATGAGGTCATATTAGTAATAATATTGGCTGATTTTTAAAAATTTAAAGGAAAATAAAAAAGGGTGCTAATTATCATTTACATGATCCGTTCTGTTATCTCCTACTACCAATAGTTTACTAAGAGACTCCTAAAATCAGGGATTAAGAATATTGAGGAAATTGGTATGTTTTTTATTATTCCCTTTCCCTATTTTTCATATGCCCACGACTGACCATCTTACTAGGTATGGGAAACTTGGTAGTTGAGATTTTGGAGATAATACTGCCTTTTATTATCAGGATAATTTAAAATACAGATGGAACATGTATTCCAAAGTATAATCACCTAAAGCAGTTGCATTTCACTTTAAAAAGTGCAAATTATATTTCTGACAGGATTTGTATTTAGAATACATAACAAACTCTTACAACTCAATAATAAGAAAACAACTCAATTACAAAATAGGCGAAAGACTTGAACAGTCATTTCACCAAGGAAGATATTTGATTAGCAAATACGCATGCGTGAGATTAGTGAAATGCAAATTAAAACTATAATGTGATACCACTACACATCCACTAGAATGGCTACAGTTAAAGGTGATTCCAAGTGTTGGTAAAGATGTGGTGGAACTGGAAGTCACATTGCTGGTGAGGATGTCATGTGCAAACACTTTGGAAAACAGGTAATTTCTTTTAAAGTTAAATATATATCTACTACATGACCTGATCATCCCACCCCTAGGTATTTATCCAGGAGGAAAAAAAAAAAAAAAGATACACAAAGACTTGTACACATATGTTAATAGCAGCTTTATAATACCTCAAAACTGGACACAACCCAAATGTTGATCAACAGAAAAGTGTATAAATTGTGGTATATCCATATAATAGAATATTGCTCAATAATAAAAAGGAATGAACTATTGATACACTCAACAACATGCATAAATTTCCAAAATAAATACGCTGGGAGAAAGAAGCCATACAAAACAGAGTACATGTTGTCTGTTCCATTTTTATAAAATTCTAGAAAATACAAACTAAAGTGATGGCACATCAGTGGTTGCCTAGGATGCGGGAGAGGGGAGAAGTCAAAAGGGTTCGATTATTTTGGGGGGTGATGGAAATGGACATAATCTTGATTGTTGTAATGGTTTTACGTGTGTGTGTGTGTGTGTGTGAAGACATCAAATTATAAACTTTAAATATGTGCACTTTATTATAAGTCAGTTATACCTCTATAAAGCTGGGGAAAAAATAGCTTATTCAACCAGTTTCAAATAGGAATCACCCAAAAGATGCTAGATTTAAAGTAATTATATTTCTGACTGGATAGAGCCTGAAAATTGAAAACTAGGATTGGAAAAGCCTTTTTTTTTTTTTTTTTATAGGAACCTTTAAAAAAAAATTTATTGTGCTTTAGGTGAAATTTTACAGCTCAAGTTAATTTCCCATACAAAAATTTATATACATATTGTTATGTGACACCAGTTGCAGTCCCTATAATGTGACAGCACACTTCCCCTTACCACCCTGGGTTTCCTGTGTCCATCCAACGAGCTCCTGTACCCCTCTGCCTTCTCATCCTGCCTCCATACAGGAGCTGCCCACCTGGCCTCGTGTATCTGCCTGAACTAAGAAGAAGCACACTCCTCATGAGTGCCATTCGATGTTTTATAGTCCAGTCTAATCTTTGTCCCAAGAGTGGGCCTCGGGAATGGTTTTAGTGCTGGATTAACAGAGCATCTGGGAGCCTTAGCTTCAATGGTTCCTCCAGTCTCAAACCATTAAGTCTGGTCCTTTTATGTGAATTTGAGTTCTGCATCCCACTTTTCTTCTGCTTCCATCAGGGACTTTCTGCTGTGTTCCCCGTCAGGGCGGTCATTGGTGGTAGCCAGACACCATCCAGTTCTTCTGATCTCAGGCTGATGGAGTCTTTGGTTTATGTGGCCCTTTTATCTCTTGGCCTAATATTTTCCTTGTGTCTTTAGTGTTCTTCATTCTTTGCTCCAAGTGGGTTGGGACGAATTGATGCATCTTAGATGGCCACTTGGAAGCTTTTAAGATTCCAGACACCACTCACCAAAGTGGGATACAGAACATTTTCTTAATAAACTTTGTTATGCCAATTGACCTAGATGTCCCCCGAAACCATGGTCCCCAGAACCTAGCCCCAGCTACTGTGTCCCTCAAAGTGTTTGGCTGTGTCCAGGAAACTTCTTAGCTTTTGGTTTAGTCCAGTTGTGCTGACTTTCCCTGTATTGTGGGAAAATGATTCTTGTCTACTATCTAGTTAGTGAATTCCTCTCTCCCTCCTTCCCCGCCCTCATGACCATCAAAGAATGTTTTCTTCTGTGTTTAAACCTTTTGTTGAGTTCTTCTAATAGTGGTCTCATGCAATATTTTCCCTTCTGAGACTAATTTCACTCAGCATAATGCCTTCCAGATTCATCTATGTTGTGAGACGTTTCGAAGATTCATCATTGTTCTTTATCGTTGTGTAGTATTCCATTGTGTGTATGTACCATAATTTATTTATCCATTCATCTGTTGATGGACACCTAGGTTGTTTCCATCTTTTTGCTATTGTGAACAATGCTGCAATGAACATGGGTGTGCATATATCTATTCCTGTGACGGCTCTTATTTCTCTAGGATATATTCCAAGGAGCAGGATAGCTGGATCGTATGGTACTTCTATTTCTAGCTTTTTAAGGAAGTGCCAAATTGATTTCCTAAGTGGTTGTACTGTTTTACATTCCCATCAACAGTATATAAGTGTTCCAGTCTCTCCACAACCTCTCCAACATTTCTTATTTTGTGTTTTTTGGATTAGTGTTAGTCTTGTTGGGATGAGATGGCATGTCTTTGTAGTTTTGATTTGCGTTTCTCCAGTGGCTAATGATCTTGAGCATTTCTTCACGTATCTGTTAGCTGCTTGAATGTTTTCTTTGGTGAAGTGTCTTTTCTTATCCTTTCCCATTTTTTAATTGGATTATTTGTCTTTCTGTTGTTGAGGTGTTGCAGTATCTTGTAGATTTTAGAGACTCTTGTCATAGCCAAAAATTTTTTTCCCAGTTGTCTTTTTATTCTTTTGGTGAAGTCGTTTGATGAGCATGAGTGTTTGATTTTTAGGAGCTCCCAGTTATCTAGTTTCTCTTCTGGTGTTTGTACATTTGTTAATTAGTTATGGTTTGTATTCTATTTATGCCATGTATTAGGTCTCCTAGCATTGTCCCTATTTTTTCTTCCCTGATGTTTATCACTTAAAATTTTATACTTAGGTCTTTGATCCATTTTGAGTTAGTTTTTGTGCATGGTGTGAGGTATGGGTCTTGTTTCATTTTTTTGCGGATGGATATCCAGTTTTTCCAGCACCATTTGTTAAAGAGACTGTCTTCTCCCTATTTGAAAAAGGACTTTGGGCCTTTGCCAAATATCAGCTGTTCATAGGTGGATGAATTTACGTCTGGATTCTCGATTGGTCTGTGTATCTGTTGTTGTACCAGTACCAGGCTGTTTTGACTACTGTGACAGTGTAATAGGTTCTAAAATCAGGTAGTGTGAGGCCTCCCATTTTGTTCTTCTTCTTGAGTAATGCTTACTTATCTGGGACCTCTTCCCTTTCCATATGAAGTTGGTGATTTGTTTCTCCATCTCATTAAAAAATGCCAGTGGAATTTGGATCGGGATTGCATTGTATGTGTAGATTGCTTTGGATAGAATTGACATTTTCACAATGTTGCGTCTTCCTATCCATGAGCAAGGTATGTTTTTCCAGTTATGTAGGTCTCTTTTGGTTTCTTGTAGTGGTGTCTTGTAGTTTTCTTTGTATAGGTCTTTTACATCTCTGATTAGGTTTATTCCTAAGTACTTTATCTTCTTGGATATGTGATGGATTACGCTGATTGCTTTTCTAATGTTGAACCATCCTTGCATACCTGGTATGAATCCCAGTTGGTCATGATGAATTATTTTTTTGATATGTTGTTGAATTCTATTGGCTAGAATTTTGTTGAGAATTTTTGCATCTATGTTCATGAGGGATATTGGTCTGTAATTTTCTTTTTTCGTGATGCCTTCACCTAGTTTTGGTATCAGGGTTAGGCTGTCTTCATAGAACGAGTTCAGAAGTATTCCATCCTTTTCTGTGCTCTGAAATATCTTTAGTAGTAGTGGTGTTAACTCTTCTCTGAAAGTTTGTAGAATTCTCCAGTGAAGCCATCAGGGCCAGGGTTTCATTTTGTTGTTGTTGGGAGTTTTTTTAATTACCTCTTCAATCTCTTCTTTTATTACAGGCTTATTTAGTTTTTCTACCTCCGTCTGTGTTAGTTTAGGTAGGTAGTGTGTTTCTAGAAATTTGTCATTTCCTCTAGGTTCTGCTATGATTCTTTTAATTTCAGTTGAGTCTGTGTGATATTGCCCATCTCATTTCTTATTCAGGTTATTTGCTTCCTCTTCTGTTTTTCTTTTGTCAGTTTGGCCAGTGGTCTATTGATTTTGTTGATCTTTTCAAAGAACCAGTTTTTGGTCCTGTTAACTCTTTCAGTTGTTTTTCTATTCTCTATTCCATTTATTTCTGCTCTAATTTTTATTATTTCCTTTCTTCTAGTGCTGAGGGTTTCTTTTGCTTCTCTCTTTCTATTTGTTCAAGTTGTAGAGTTAATGTTTTTATTTTGGCTCTTTCTTCTTTTTGGATGTGTGCATTTATTGCTATAAATTGACGTCTGAGCACTGCTTTTGCTGTGTCCCAAAGGTCCTGATAGGATGTGTTTTC